AAGTCATCAACGGACTTTTTGTTGTCACGTCGTGGTGTCCTGACAAGAAGAGGTTCAAGTTGTTAATGTGAACCTTAATCAGTTGCTCCTCGATGATTATTTATTTTCAGTTGCCTCGTCACCTGGTTTACCTTATAATTTTTTTTTAAAGTTTAAGTCAAATATACCCCACCAGTTTACAGAAACAATAAAAAATAAATGCTCAAAGGTGTTCAATATCTGCACAATTTACTAAGCTGCAATATGACTAAAAAATAATTATTTGAGTAAAACCGTGGTGGTTGTTTAACGTTAGGCAACTATTTTTACCCGTCTTCGGCATTTCCTTCGTCTGTGCTCGTAAAGCGCTTGTTGTGGGTTTTTTTCCTGCTCTATCAACAGGGATATCCAGACACGCGCATGTGTTTCATTAAAACCCACTTATTCATAATCCAACCCTTGCAATAGTCAAAGGTTATCAAAAACGTGTATTCTCCCCACGGTCAAAATCCAAAAAAAAAGTCTGGATAGGACAAAAATGGCGTTGCATTTATCATGATTACGACTAAACAAAAAGGCTGGGCATATTCTTTTTTTATATAAGATTCTTTTCTACATAGTTGAAAGTTCGCTGATTTGTTGGTTTACTTAGTGGTTTCTTTTTTTCTCTTGATCCTGCATTTTATTAAGTTACTGTGCATTGTGGCACAAAACGTCACACGTATACATGAATCAACAACATATTTGTATTCAATGTGTATCCCGGTTTACTTGTTAGTTTTATTATTGTTAATAGGCCTTATAAGATTTCTTATAAGGCCTATGTCTCTTTCAAATATTCAGTAGAAATTATCTGAGTAGGCCTATTTGAAATTCTCGTATGGTTGCTATCTCCTTTAAAAAAAATCCTACTGTATAATATGTTGAGGAAAACATATATAATTGAATTGCCCCTGTATTAAGTCAGTTCAGTTATTGTTAAATGAAAATTCGACGGGAAAGTAAGGTAAAGTATCAATAAAAAGGCGCGTCAATAATACACTTCTGGTATTATTTGCATATCAACTTGCAATAGGCCAATAAACATTTTTGTAATAAAAAGTTTGTAAATTTACAGAAAATTTATTGTTTCGATTCGTGTCTCAATGGAAGGTGCGTTTTTTTTTTTTTTTAAACTGATTTTACTGCAGACAACAGTCTATACCGTAGATTTGTCACAAGTCTCTAATTTATTATTTATTTATTTACTTTAATTTAAGTGTGTGTCTTTTATGTTGTTGAATTTGGATGGGAGTTAAATCCTAATCCAAGAAAAGTATACTATGGAACGCCATGTAAGTGAGTAATATGGAACGCCATTTCTGTCATATAAATCCATTAAAAATGTCTAGTTATATCGTATTTTCATGCCCGAAAGAAACGTTGGGTTACGTCAACAAAAAAGCGCACAATTTTCAGCATATCAAAATATTATTGATGGCGCCATGAAGCAGAATGTAAATTACCGGTACAGGTATTAATCATTCATTCGCTTAAAATTATCATTGTCGTAACCGTCATTATACTAAAGTTATCATTATCGTAACCATTATGCGATAACATAACACGAATTCATGCTCTTCAAAGAAAAGCAATTCATTTAATTGTTGATAAGCAGGAATTACTATTTCGGCAAAAAAGGTGGATGGACAATTGTTTACTCAATGGCGGATCCAGGGTTGACAAAAAGAGTGTCCCCTCCCCGGCCGGCAGCAGCCAAAAAAAAAAAATATCCAAGAAAACTTTTAGTACTAATGATTTAGCCTGCGTGATACAGTTCAGAAAAAAAAATTGTTAGGATTTAAAAAATACATTTTCACACGTATATTTATTGTATATTAGTCAAATTAATCAATCATAATTTAATAAGACAGGCGTCAGGCTTATGACAGTAGTGAAACCTCCATTTAATCCACGTTTAGGCGAAGTAATTAGACGTAGTATTTTGGAGACGTATAGTTCTCATCATTGAAGGCGACGCGTTTGTTCACACATCACCCCTGCTCAATAGAAAATTTGATTTGTTTTGACAGAAATCGTTCGATGAGTTACTTGGCAGAATGTCCACTGTGGGAATATTCTTTTACGACTATACCAGGTGTAGCGTGTTTGCTGAATAAAAGCATTATGGATAGTAGGGCAATAGTAGTCCTAGCCTATTCAAAAATATCCGATGACAATGTGAAACAATGATGTGTTCGTTCTGATTGCATTTATATGTAGGTTGGTCACTAAATCTCTAAGCTTACTTAGACTTACGTAGCACTAAAGTTCATCGGACACGCTTTCGTTTTGTCACGGATGCTTTTCGACATCTTCTTTAGGCCTAGGGATTATTTTCTTAACATAATTTTTTTGTTTAATGTAGGCCTAAAAGTTAATCTTTTATATTTCTAACTCTTATGAAAACAGTATAAAACAGTATACGCAAGGGATATGCAACTGTTGTATTTACTAGTACGATGCATAGAATATTTACTTACAAGCTCAATTTTTCTTTAAATACTTGCCAACAACAAACGAAAATGTCGTATCTATTATTATTATATTAGTATTAATTTCCCCTCAATTCCAAAAACTGAAAGATATTCTGCCGTGATCGATCCACAGTCTGGAGGTC